GGGGCAGAGGATACAGGGTAGGAAAAAACCATTACATCTTGGCTACCTGAAGGCAAGAGAGAGAGAGAGAGAGGAGATGTCAGATTCCCACTGTCCTCTTTGAAGCCTGTAGTTTAGGTCTCTGGTGTCCCCACAAAGTCTTTGCTATGACTTTTCCCTGGCTTCTAAAGCTTGCAAAAGCCACAGTGCATTGCCTTTGCCGCTCACCCTTGCAGACCCCGCTATTCTGGAATTTACACCTCTCCCTGGAACCTGACATCTTCACTTATGTCATAGCTGTAAAACAGTTTCCTGCACTGAACTGTGGCTTAAATATGTGCCCACCTTACTACTCTGAAGAAACTATTTTGAAGGTCTTTATGTCATTCAGATATATATCTGATATATATATATATATCAGAGATTGAACTTGGGACCTACACTTGTGAGGCAGGTGGCAGAACCACTGAGCTAAATCCCCAGCACAAGGATTGTATTATTTTAAAATCACATCCATTTTAAATGATATTAAAAGACAATTCAGAATTACATCAAATCCTAAAACCTAACAGTGACCTAATTCAACGTCGTCCTCTGTCTGTGTACACTTGTAGAAAGAGGTCACACGGGAATAGGTGAGCACACACGCAGGTGCACACATGCCACTCATGCTTGTACAATGTAGCATGAATAAATTAATTCAGTAATCTGACCAATTTCCCCTTTCAACAATGTCAAGGACTCTTTCTACGCCAATGATATGCTTGTACATAATTTTAATGGCTCCTTACAATTCTAATTTATGGGTTACTCTAGGTTTGTTTTGGTTACCATCTATCAACATTAAAAGCACTGATTGTGGACCTGACTCCTTTATTCCTCACCTGCCATGAATATAAATTTTAAAACACTATTATTGTCCTTACCTTCTTTGATTAGCTGCAGAATTCTGGGCAGGCTGTATAATTCTCTTAAAAGCCTCTGTTCTTTGTCTTTGGACTGTGTCCTATTAAAATTCCTATGTATCAGAGTCTCCTGCCTTGGAGATGTGATGATTGTGAATCAGATTTTCTATTTCTTGTGAGAAGCATCTGTTACATAGTAAAGATGTGACCTTAGAAAGCTATACTTTTTAGGAACTAATATAATAGAATCATGCATAAATTGTACATGAATATTTTGAATCTCACCACCCTAACACAGGCAATATATTTCAGTTGTACCCAACTTTCCTCTCTTCTGTCTTTGTGAAATCCAAGATGATAGGTTGCTTTCAATGAACACTTCCACTTTGCCAACCACGTCTATGAAAGATATGCACTGCTAGTACAGTTCATTGAGATATTTCCTCTATTCTCCATGGCTGACATAAAAACTATTCAAATATGTGAGCTAATGAATTGTGGTGCACATTCAGAAAGTACAAAGTCTCCTTGCTATTAAGACAAGTTTCTGTTTTTTGAGGTGTGACTTGAATCAAGATTGTATAGCATATTCCTTCAATGTAACTGGATATGGTCATGCTTCTCATGTGTCTTGTCCTTTGTTTTTAATTTAGGTCAAATCTGAGAATTTCACTCAGAAATTCTCCTACTTCAGTTTGTGAATTCAAAAGTATCTTTTTGTACTATAAAGTACTAACCCAAATGCTTCTCAAAAGCCTTTCTTTTTACATCACTGTGTTTCTAATCTTGAAGCCCACCTTGCCAAGTTTTAGGGGCATGTGTGTCATAAATGCACAGAGCCTAAGTTTTGAGTTATAAAATGTTTGCCATTTATTATGCATTGCTGAGTTATTCATATGTAGGGATCTGAACAACCTAGTTCTTACCTGATTATATCATTAGCTGTTGCCTCTGGTGGTTCCTTTCTTTCTGTCATATCTGTGTTGCTTTATAGCAGTGGTTCTCAACCAGGATAGACTTTTTATATCAAAGAATACTTGAAAATGTGCAGATATAGATATAGATATTGTAACAGTGGAAAGGATGCCCCCTCCCCTAAATTTTAGAGCACAGGGATGCTGCTCAACACCCTATAACAGACACTCTCCTGCCTCCCCAACAAAATACTATCTGATTTTTTTTTTTTTTTGGTACCAGAGATTGAACTCCAGACCTTGTGCTTATGAGGCAGGTGGTGGTACCACTGAGCTAAGTCTCTGGCCCACTATCTGATTTAAAGTCAATAATGCCAGGGTTGAGGAAACTTGCTGCATGGAAACTGACTTTGTGTGCTGAAATTGAACTTTCCGATTTCTCTTGCCCCAGAGATCTTCTATTTAATATGTTCTTTTGACTTAAACTAGCCTCTCAGTGGAAAAAACAAAAAAAAAACAAAAAATGGTTATGCCCCATGACATCTCTGTCTTATGCTGAGGTAAAAGTAAGACAACAGCCATCATCTTCACTAAAACTGTTTTTTTTTGTTGTTGTTTGTAAAAAATATTTTATGACATTGATATTTGACATTGCCATAGAAGAAGAAATAGAGCATAGGATATAGAACAAGGAATGGGGCAAACCACTGCCTATTTCCGAGTAAAGAATGAAACTGGAAGGACAGATACTATCCTGAGTTACTCTCTACTCCAAATGGGTTGTTTGGAAAGTTGCATTTGCAAATATATTGAAGAAAACTCCACGGGTCATGTAATGCTAACACTGTTCATTTTTTTTCTCCTTCCTACCCTCACCTTCAGACATTTCACATTTTCAAGAGCAGAATGATTTAAAAGGATTACTAGAAAGTCTTCACCAAAACATCCAAGCCAAAAAAAGAAAGAACGTAGAAATCATGTGGCTGGCGGCAACGGTGAGCACTCACGTCAAGTCTCGTTTTCTGTCACAGCGTGCACCATCAGCCTCTGTGCTTTGGCTCCTTGATGTGACCCCTGTTACTCGGGGGATGAGGCATTGTCCTTCTCGTTGGTAGTCCTAGCAGTTGGAGAGGGCATACTGAAGAGGAAGAGATATTCCACAAGAAAGAATCTACTGTTACCAACCTGGATACTTTTGTGAGGTGGAGGTTAAGGTGAAAGGTCTGTGATTCTCTTGGCACTGCAGGTTGCCATGTCAGGTTCCTGTATCAACAAGGATTCTGATTTGCAGCTCTAGAGACATATGGTTTCCACGGAATGTGGTTTTCAGAACTCTGGCTCACAGCTTTGGTAAGGCTCCTGAACATATTGTTCAGTTAATGAGCTTGTAAGTGTTTTTTTTTTTGGTACCAGGGATCAAACTCGGGTCCTTGCACTTGCGAGGCAGGCCACCGAACCGCTGAGCTAAATCCCTGGCCCTGTAAGTGTATTTTTTAAAATTTAGACATTGGCATAGAATTTATTACTGATGGATTGATCTCAGGGTAATGAGCTGTATTTTGTATGGTTTTCTTTCACTTAATGGAACCCTTAGGGTGGAAGATGTGTCTGTTTTCCCACTGTGGATTTCTGTAGAGAGGGAGAGAATCATGCTTGTACTTTTTAAGCTCTTTTCTGGCAACTGTGAGGCATAACTCATGAAATTTATGAATTTTATTAAAACTTCAGACCCAAAGATGTTTATTTAGGAAAGCATCCTTTCATTGGGGAAGGCACACCAGAGAGATCTATGATACATACCATATGTGTGGTTTCTGCAGTATTACTCTTACAATTTGGACTTCAAATAATGGAAGCTTCTAGCATAGTCTTATTTTGTTTTCTATCAGTAGCATCTAAAACAGGCTTTTTTCTTGACTGCCAGTGGCTCAATTATAATCCAATATTACTTATTCTTCTCTGGGAAGAAGTAAAAAATATTTTATCATGAGATTATTTTTAAATAAATTTAGCATGAGCAAGGCAAACAAAAGCTGCGTTAGTTTCCTTCCATGCCTTCTTGGAGTCCCAGGTAAGATGATGGAAGGTTACACTATGGAGTGCTGTGTTCAGGCAGTTCATTTATGCTGCTTGTAAGGTTCTTCCCCAATGTGACTATTTTTTTGTGTCTTCAAAGATTACAATGGTTAGGGCTGGAGATTTAGCTCAGCGGTTCAGTGGCCTGCCTTGCAAGCGCAAGGACCCGAGTTCAATCCCCGGTACCAAAAAACGAACAAAAAAACCCACAAAGATTACAATGGTTAGTAATTCTCAGGTGGTTCATGTTATTTTTATTGTTTAACTAATGACATAATAGCATTAAGGTTGTTTGATTATTTACCAAGGTCTCCTAACAACTTGGAGACGTATAAGTGTGTAATTATGTACATATCATAAAGTTATGTACATAATTAAGGACTCACACAAGCTAAAGCTAATGCGTATTTTCTGTTAGATTTATTTTTCCATTTGGCTGAACATAAAATTTCCCATAAGTCCTCTGTATTTCTAAAATATTTTTTGAAATAGGTATACTAATCATATGTGACTCCTACACAACTTTAAATTGAATAAGATGATCAATTATTATCAGTTATCTATTTCTATAGGCTGATATCTCAGTTTTAAGATCCCATTTGTAAACAAAGGAACTAAATAATACTCTCAAAATGAAGAAATATAAATTTCTTTTGACATTTTCAACAAGTTTTCTGTCTCTTTTCCTCTTTTCTTTAAATCTTATTTAGTGAAATTTTGCTGGTGTTAGTATTTTGCATTCAAATTGAAACATATAAAGCTATTTGGTTTTATCTTAATTTAATTTAAATGATACAAATGAGAACATAAAGAACCCAGAATCAAGTATGCTAAATCAAGCTTATAAAGTTGTAGAGTTGTAGAAATATGGGACTCAAGACCCCCACTTGTCTGTTCTGATAAAATCACTCCCATCTTCACTTTTCTTTAAATTTGGAGCACTAAATATCCTAAGTAGGAAAGGTACATAGAATGATAAGAATACATTTTAAAGCATATGAATTCTTTTTAAAAATCATATCTCAAAAAGCAGACTTTAAGGTCTATTTCACTGTGGATGCTGTCAAGCTTCTTTTAAGTATGTGAATTACTGTTTATTTGAAGAGATTAGGATTTTCTGAATGAAAAAAGATTATACAGTGAAATACTACCCTCATATTTCTGTAGTCATTTTCATTGGAATTAGAAAGTAGTGAAAGTCTAAAGTAATAGGGCCATATAAATCCCAGGGTAAGTATTATAATCACAATTAAAATATGGTAAAAACCCTTGATGAGAACTATATCATCTGAAAGCAGGCAACTTTTAAAGCCTCCTTGATGGTTGATAATAAAGTAAGCTTTATTGTGTCACATTTAATTTACTTTAAGTGCACATTGTTTAGCATTGTGGATGTTGCAGTGGTTAGTAGTAACTCCTATTAGAATCCTATTCTGGATAGAAGGGAAAGGAATGGAATGATTTACCTGCTAAACATGAGGCAGTAAGTCAAGAGACTATTTCCTTCTCTGACTTAAAATTTAATTTGGTTTAAAAGAGTCGTCTCTGACTTAAATTGGAAAAACAAAAAAAGGGAATTGTATAGGAGGAAACTGAACACAACAGAATTTAAAGACTTGGTTTTTGAACATAGCTACACCATACTTGTACTCTGATTCTGCTCTGTTGTACGCAAGTTACTTAAACTGTCTGAACCTCAGTTCCGTCATTTTGTAAAATAGAATTAATTATACCTTCCTATAGGGTTTATGTAAAGTTCATTACAAGAGTAAATCTACATAAAATTCCACAGTGCTGTGCCTGGCACAGGATAGATGTACAAAGAATGGTGGCCATTTATAGTACTCTCATATTGCCAAATAGTTTTCTCATCTTGTACCATGTCCGTGCTTAAAATATTATAACATGAAACCAAGTATACCACAGGTTTCTTAAAAGTAAAATGTCACGATGTAAGCTAGTCAAGATTCAAACGAAGTGTCCAATCCAGAAAATAAAGGGCTTTGCCTTTTCTTCATGAAGTTGTTGCTCATACAAGTAAGCTGTGATTGTCACCATCACTACAGTGATCTACTACAAGATCTTCTTGCTCTGGAGTACATTGCTTCTTCTGCTGGCTGTTTCCATGTCTTATGAATTTAACAATCCCACACCTCATGTACAAAGTGCTAAATAAATGAGGTCTGTCTGGCTTTTGGAATGAAATGGTAAACTTTGTTATGTTTTATAGTGCAGCTAGAACCAGCTGACTTTCAGGAGTGAATTTAAACCCGGAGTTGTAGTTGGCCTGCTTTCACTGAAAGTATTTAGAGGAAGCTGGTGCACGAGTAATTCGCACGTCAACAATAAATGGTTTTCCTATGTGCCTCACAGATTTGTCGCAAACTAAATGGTATTCGTTTCACCTGCTGTAAAAGTGCCAAAGACAGGACGTCCATGTCAGTGACACTGGAGCAGTGCTCGATCTTGAGGGATGAGCACCAGCTGCACAAGGACTTCTTCATCCGAGCGCTGGACTGTATGAGAAGGTATCCCACTACTTTAAGGTCTCTTTTATGTCAAGGTCATTTTGAGATTTTTGTTTTCGTTTTTTTAAAATCTTACTGGATGACTAAATATTTAGTACTTTCACTGAATTTCCATTGTTTATAGCTCATGGCATGAAACATAAAATAACTTTTAGCATTTCCCCTACTCATTTTAGATAATAAAAGGGAACGTGGCCATGCATGCACTTAATAATGTACATGGCAGGCATATTTCATTAGCTTACTCATTAGCTTACTAGCTAATGTTAAAAGGCTCTGAGCGTTTCATATATAACACTTGGTGCACATATTTTCTTGACATATAAGTGGTTATGAGACTGTGCAAAACAAAACTAAGTCAATACCCAAACAAAGCCTTTCCAAACTGTAGCTAATGTCCTCTTCCTATGACCTGCATAGTCTCTAACTGGGTAGCCTCCTTCCTAATATTATTTTCTCATTACTCATTGTAAAGACAGAATGACACTGATACTTTAAAAAGGAGAATTAATATCGTTACAGCCGACATTTAAGATTTAAGATGCTGTGCCCCAAGTCATGTGTCTTGATTCATTTCCACGGTAATTAAATCTCAAGATGACACTGTAATGGAAAGGGAAAAGTGCCTTCTTCACAGCGTCTATCAGCAAGGACACATGTTCATTTAAAAGTTAAGGGAATTGTCTCTTTGCTGCAAAGAGTAGCTCAGAAGCATACCAGGAAGTGCGAGGCAGGCGGGTTCCGGAGAGGACGGTGCTGTGTGCATTTCTAGGGGCTGTTGCTCATCCAGCATGGTGCTAGCTCCCCCTTTTCTTTCCACAGCTGCAGGCTTTCAGCAGCTTACCTGAGCTTGTTCTGTGCCTGCACATTTCTCCACTAATGAGCAGTGTCTGAAGTCCTCTATTTTACACCATTTCATGTCTCTTGGCATTTTCATTGTGCGGTGGAGTTCTGTCATCATTTTTTGAAAAGGGAATGAGGTTGCTTTAGAGGGCTGACATGAACATCTAAGCCATATTAGGCACATTTGGTTGGTAGAGAAAAATTCTTTCAAAAATAATCTCTCAGCACTAACAGGAAAAAGTCTCAGTCTAAGTGCAGAATCTTCTAAAGTGCAGAAAAAGAATACAAATAGGAACAAAGGTAGTGGGGAGGATAGTAAGAGCATACGCTACTGTAGGCCAGGGTGATCAAGGAACTAAAGTAATTTAACTCACAAATTGCCTGGAGGGTGAGATTATTTCCTGTTTATTTAAGCTGCAGAAGCACCCCTTAAGTTAGAAGGTAGTCCCCCAAACAAATAAATATAAAATGTGTCTGTCGGGCACATGTTAAGCCACAAAATCGAGAGTTTGGCGTTGGATGAGGTCATTCAGAATCAACATTGTGCTTGCAATACGTTTGCTCACAACATATCTTGGAACCGTTAAAAGTAAGATGTTGGAAATTTCATCTAAAACACTAATGCCCTCTACTTTTATATATCCACTACTCTGCTAATACTATTTTCTGCTTTTTTCTATAAATTTCAAATTTGTCAAATTTATCCTTCCTTTTTGTATATACAAAGTTTACCAGGAGAGTGTGCAGGTTTGTCTCTGTGTATGTGTGAAAATATTTCAAGAAAATGAGAATATTTTTTGTAAAATAATGGTCTTCATGTCCCTCTGCCTGATAATAGAAACGTATAGATTCATAGACCAGGACAGCATAGCAAAGTAGGTAAGAATGGGGAATTTGCACCCAGGTGAGCTCAGCTTGTCATGCTGTCTGCCACTTACCAGCCATGAGGAAGTTAAGCGCTTGTTGCAGCTTAGTGCCTTAGGCAAGTTAGTCACCTTGGTGCCTCAGTTTCCTCACCTATCAAGAAATCATGACAATAGTAGTCACTTCCTAGGAGTATCTTTGGGATTACCTGAATGTATGCATTTATAATGATCAGAACAATCGTTAATACTAAGTTAATACTTGATGAGTAAAACAATGCCAGATTTCATAAAATTAGCATTCTGTTTTTCCCAGATGCAACAAAATCCAGGTGATTGTGACCTTTGTATTTTATGTTTGTGACTATATTGTGACATAGGTTTGATTTCAATAGCATAATTTAAAGGGTTCTTGCCACTCTTGTAAATAATTTCAAACGCAATGTTTTACCAATTGAAGAAATGACCACTTTAGATAGAACTTTTAAAATCTGCATGTGTTTACGAATGCTAGGCCATTTATGGGAAGTTGGCATTCATTAAAGTAAACCTGGACTGGTTTCCTACAAACATTTTTAATCTTAGTGTGTATTATTGAATGCCCTACAAATAATTGTGGAATCTGAGCTCGAGGAGTCACCTTAAAAATTTCATCTTATACATAATGAAACCGAGCCCTAGAGTGTTTTGGCAGAGACTACATGTTAGCATCTGCACGGAGACATGCTCTTCCAGTTATGAGTTAATGTTATTTAATACTAAACGGAATGAATTAGTATCGCTCGAAAATATTTGGTAACATATTTAACTATTTCAAATCCATTAGTTAAAATAGAAGTCATGTTTGTTAAAAAGCATGTGCTTGTAGAAATTCAACACTGTTTGCAAAATCAGAGTGGTCTTCTGAAAGCCTGAGGGTTCAAGAGTGAAGCCTCTAGAGTTCCACTCTAGGAGTGGAGCACACACTCTTGTCAGCCTTCTCAGTCATTATCACCACTGGACCTAGACATCGCAGTGTCTCATAGGGGTTACAGAGATTCAGAAAAGTCCACAGAGGAACACTTACTTCTCCGTTAGGAACTACATTTTAACTTTCTCATTTTTAAAAAACTGTGTTTTTAATCATGTCCTGCATGTACAATTTTGTTTACCCTTTTATGTTCAAGCCTGGTTTCCAAGCGCCACCCTTATGTCTGGGGATGGGACACTTACTGTTCTCAAGCGACTACCACTATGGTTTCCAGCCTCTGCTGACGTCTGTGGATGAGTCTGGAATCTGCTGAGGTTCAGGTTCTGCCGTGCTCAGGTTCAGGAGTATTCATGCCTGTCCTGCCTTCTACTGTATTTCCACCAAGTCCTTTCAGGTCACCCATGCCACCCAACGATGTGTGGTTTAGTGGCTCGCAGCTTTCCATGATTTCCCTGTTGAATTGCATGTTTCCCCTCGCTCTGGAGAACAGGCAAGTTGAAACTGTCCCCCAGGCTAGATGCGGAATTGGCTGGCTGCTTTATTTGTCACGCAGGCCGCTAAGGCTTCTGACAGTGCTCAGGAGTGGCCTTTTCCACTTTCCATTCCAAATCAGGTCAGGTCCCCAGGGCGGGGAAGCTGTTGCTTTCCAGTGTGAGCCCCGCCCTGAGGGAGATGGACTGAGTAGAGCTGAGAGCCAGCAGTGCCAGGAGAAATCCCACAAGCGCTGCCTGCTCAGGCCCCTCTTGAAGCAGTGTCTCATGAATAAAACTTCCTACGTTGTTGCTCTGGGATAAAGTCAGAGTTGAGAATCACTTGACTGAAGTCAGGCACATTTAAACCAGTTTTAATTTAAATTAGTAACAGGTATTAATAGCTCTAAAATACTAGAAGTCTGATGAAGCTTTCCTTTGTTTGAGTCTTAACGCATGGGCCAGAGTTTTCCTTGATTATCTGCAGCAGAAGTTTACAAATTGTGCATAAATAATTATCAAGTTTCTGGGGTTTAGTCATTTTCTTTAAAAAGACAGAATAGAGAATCAGCATCCATTTTCAATTAGAAAATCTCTTTGGAATGCTAAGAGGCATGTTTTCCCAACACTTGTGGAAAACACTTTTAGTAGGTGTCTCCATACTTTTATTAATTATCAGATTATAATAATTGACCTTTAAAGAAATAAAACAATTACTATGACAGGATTTCTTTCAAATGTTATATTTATCCAAACATAATTTTGTTGGGAAATGTCATTGGCACAGAAAAGTAATTTTAAAAGATGCATTGCAAATGCAGTTTATTTCTTTGAACAGGAGCTCTGACATTGTGTATGCTTACCATGTAGCAATGCAACCCCATGTTGCCTAGTTGTCTTTTACCTGCTGCTACATTACTCTTTCTAACTTTTTTTTTAGGTGCCAGGGATCGAAATCAGGACCTTGAACTTGTGAGGCAGGTGGTGGAACCACTGAGCTAAATCCCTGGTCCTACATTACTCTATCAATCTGTCATTTGATGATGGGTCTATAAAATTAGGACACTTTCTATGTCATCACAGTAAGATGGCTCAGGGTTAGTTTCAATGTCAAACTTATTAGGACCTTTAACAGAAAGGGCTCTCATTATTTTAATGTAAATATTTGCTTCAAAAGAGGGCCAGTGACTCAACAGCCTATTGGATTGTAGCTTGTGGAGTGGCACGTGTGCAGCATTTGCATCTGAATTTATATGTGAGAGGAGCATAATTTATGAAATGTTTTGCTTTATAAACAGTAACCTTTAATCAAATGTCAACAGTATTGTACTTGTGATGACTTAGCCCCTTTTGGGGTTCACTTTTTCAGTGATTTGGTCCATTTGTTGTTAAAATACGAAAATCCCGTCTTTTCTTTCTTCATTAGTCTTGTTTTCTTAGCATATTTTTCTTTTCTTTAGCTGATGGTACTAGTTTCAGAAGAGTTGCTATTTTTTTTCACATTATCTTCTTCAAATATTAAAGAGTTTGCAGCTGTATATTGACTTTTTAAAAGGACACACTGGACATAATCAGGGACAGTTTTGCAATTGTTGCTGCTACCTCTTCCCTTGAGAATTTCAGTAGAGTGCTGCCACATTACTCCAGACTGTATCTCTCATTAATAACAGCAATAATTCCAGGTGGATTCACATTCATCCTAGTTAACAATTACTGAAAACTGGTCCTATTTAGAATGTTTTTGTATCACCTGAAATTAGGCCAAAAAAAAAAAAAACTGTGAAGAACACACTTACCTGAAAAATCATGTTGGAACAAGTATCTTTTAACAAGATGTCTGCACAAGAACCAATG